ATTAAACCCAATGGAACAATGTATCTTATGTTACCATTGATTCACTCAAATTCCTCCATAATCCAACAAACCAATGTACCATTTCTTCAAATTTTCTTGGCAAACAAACAGAACACAAGAGAAAATAACAAAGGTCATCTATTATGCATTAGAAAACTGAAAGTAAAAAGAAAACTTAAGTAAAAGGCTAAACTTAAAAGCATGTTACAAAATATGCACAACTTACATCGCAAGTCCTACCAAACCCTCACCCTCAAATCATTACTGTTCCTATTAAAATTCCACAAGTACTTGGCCTCTTCTTCTCCATCCAAACCAACCACCGCGTCCGCCTCCCCAGAATCTAACCGCACACGTGTACGGCAAATCGGGCAAGCGGACACCTTCACCAGCCACGTGTCCAAGCACCGCCTATGGAACACGTGGTTACACGCAGCGAGTTTCCTGCACCACTGCCCATCGCGAAACGCGTCCAGGCAAACGACGCAGTCCGTCTGCGGCGGCGAGGACGACGTCGTTTCGGATTGGGGCTGGGCTCTGAAGCGGAACTGGGGGAGGGCCTTGAGGTGTCTGGAGGAAAACCCAGATGAGGGGAGGGGGGATTGGGCACGGCGGCGGTGTAGAGCGCCGGCGGCGAGGAAGAGGAAGAGGACGATGGCAGCCAGGCCGACGAAGAGGAAGAAGAGGGAGGTTATGGAGGTCATAACCAGGACTTTGATGATGAGAGAGAGAAGCTTTGGATTGGATTTTGGGGGCGGCGGCTGTGGCTGTGCAATTACATGATTGTGGTTGCGGCGGTAGGGATCAGAGGAGGGAGGCATGGTGGTGTTTGATTTTGATGAAAGGTTGTTGAGAGTTTCTATTTAAGATCGAGTTTTGGAAAGAAATGGGACGGGGGATATTTTTGTTAGGGAGATGCTGCTTTTTAATTAAATCATTATTTGGTCATGGTTTGTGGGCCGTGGATAAGTCGGTTCTGATTGAAAGGACCTGTCTGCCGCCCATGTATACCAAATCAGCGTGCTACTTGGGCTCAATCCCAAAACTTATCTTTTAAAAATGCAACTATTATATCTATAAAAAAAAAGAAAAAAAAAAGCAACTATTCAAGTATATTCCGCACTCAAGCACTTTTTTGCCGTTATTTTATTATTATTTTAGAAGAGAATGGATTTTATTAGAAAATCAGAGTATTATAAGGATAAAGCATGTATAAAGTGGCCTCGTTAAAACCTCTTTGAGGAAAACTCAATGGGACAAAAGCCCAGAAGAAGAAAGAGTACCATACACGCCGAGACTACAAGAGAGTCAAGCAATAGTACACTCAGGAGAGTCCTCATTTAGACAATCCTGTAACAAAAAAGGTGGGTTAGAAAACCAAAAATCTAAGGCCTCTAGTCTTGACCAAGATTGAAGTGCACAAGATGATCTGCCACTCCGTTA